AACATGCAACAAACAAATGACTTGAGCATTTACACTCCTGGATATTATCCCAGAGAAATGAAGAGTTAATTCACCAAAGACATGCACACAAATGTTTATAGCAGCTTTATTCATAATAGCCCCAAACTGGAAACAGCACAGATGTTCTTTGACAGGTAAACAAACTATGGTATAGCTATGCCCTGAAATATCATTCTTAATACAAGGACAAAGTGGGCTAAATCTCCACAAAATTATGCTGGGCTGGGGGTGGGGGGGGAGCAATCCCAAAAGATCACATACTGTATGAATTCATTTATGTAACATTCTTGAATTGACAAAATTATACAGCTCTAGAACACATTAGTGACTGCCAGGGATTAAAAAAGAGATGAAGAGGGAGGAAAATAGGAGTAGCTACAAAAGGATAACAGGAGGGATCCTTGTGGTGATGGAAATGTTCTGTATCTGTAGCAATGTCAGCATCTTTATTTTGATAGTGTACTATTTTTGCAAGATGTTCCCACTGGAGGAATTAGGTAAAATATTCATGGGATCTCTCTATTAAGTCTTACAATTGCATGTGAATCTACAACCATCTTGAAAGCAAAAGCTTTTTTTTAAACAAAATCTTAAAGGGTCTTAGGTTTTATGCTATGGCATTCAAAATGTTTCATTTGTTTTGTTTTTTGTTTTTCTATAAGTAATGGGCAGCCAACAAAGCAGTGATTAAAAGGGTTAAGAAGGGTTGAGATGAAGCCCCACATGCCTTACAGTGGTCTCTCTCACAGGGTATAAATGGAGGAGTGGAAGTGGGTAGGAAAGTAGATGAGTTGGGGAACAACCTAGAAAAAAACACCCTAGATGGCCTCCACTTCTTGTGAAATTAAGAGCAATACCAAATTAGTGACTGAGAGCAGAGATGGTGGACTGGATAAAGAGCCTGGGAAGAATGGTGACAATTTAAAAACTCAAAAGAAATAATTAAATTACAGAGTGATCTAAATTCTAAGCTCAGATTAAGGGCCATGAATTTGTTGTGATATAAGACTTCAAACTTGTGTAATTTCTCCCTCAATTTACTTATCAGCTCAGGAGGAAAAAGGTAGACACTGGGTCCAGTTTAGCTGGGAGTGTGCAGCCAAAATCAAGTAGGAGATGTCAAATGTGTCCATAGAAAACAGCTTTTCAGTGAATGACCATAGTCCAAATATTAAGGAAAGAGCTGAGACCACAGCTATTTTGTGGTAGAGAGCTCCAGAAAGTAAAAATGGAGATGGACTTATATGTGGTGAGAAATAGAGTCAGACTTTGAACCCAGGTCCAACTGGCTGAGCAGTTCATGTCCCTTCCACTGTCCAAGTTCCCTTCTTTTTGAACCTGGTTGATTTAGCAGGTCAGTCCTCAGCTAGGAGTGTGGGCAGAATCTGTGCCAGCCCCAGTCTAGAGCTGAAGTCCTGATGTCTGTTGCAGCATGAGAGCTTAGAGGTTAGAAGAGGGTCTGTGGGTAGACCTGCTCCTTCTTACAGGAATCTGCTCCCTCTCCACCTCTAGGAAGCCCTCCCTGACTCCCTCAGGCTGGGTTAGGCCAACACTTCTAAGCTCCCAACACATCACTCCATATCTCCACATACTGCAGAGACTGGGCTCTGCAGGACTCATTCTGGGACTTGGCCAAGAGGAGGTTTCAGGAATATTGTCTTGGCAGGATTTCAAATGCAGGTGGACTGTTGAAGCTGATAGTCTCTGAATATAATCATTTCAGCTTGGTGGGATATTGCAGAATCTGATTCTGTCTCCCTTTCCCCTTTTTTTGTTTAGTTATTCCAAACTCCTTCTCCTGACTCCAAAGCTACCCCTAATTTTTCTATTCCCCTGGGACCCGAGTGGAGTGATTCCCCTGTGGCCCAAGCCTGGCCTTCCCTGGAGATAAGCACTGCTGACACGGCATCTCTGTGCAGTGCGATAAAACTCAGTCCCTCTGACACAAAGACATCCTGGGCTCCTGAAGGATGTGGAGTGGCAGAGCAGCCTAGGATAACAGCCAGGGTGAGTAACCTAGGGCTCCAGCACACCCCCTTCTCCACTTCCCAGATGAGTGACACCCAGCACCTTAGCCTCTGATGGGGATATCACTGGGAGGGGTCTGAAAATAATGCAGAAGGAGAAATAATCCAATGAGAGACAATAGTCCCATCCCCTGCTTGAAGAAAAGGGCCTAAAGAAGACTTGTCTTCCTGTAACTCAGGGAGCTTACAGTTCAGAGATGAACTAGAATCCCGGATCACATCTCCAGGGAGGGATGTCTCTCATAGTCTCTCAGGAGAGTGAGTGGATGACAGGATGTGTCAAGCTATCGTCCCATCTGAGACATCTGAGGTCATCTGAGCATCAGCTCAGCATCTCAGCTGTCATTATCTGTGTCTGAGCTGGCATTTCTCCACAGGCATTCTTTGTCACAATCAAGTTTTTATTTTTTAACTTAGATTTTTCTCACTGCATCTCCTGCTATCTTTTAACAATGCTATCTCCTACATTCTCTATAAGTTGATAGTCAGAGATGAGTCAGGCTTGTTATTTTTTAAAAATACCTAGTTTTCTCTCATTTGTGATGCTATCACAAAATAATTGTTTTTTGCCATTATGTCATTGATTTTTTTTAAAGTAACACTTTAATTCTATTATTTCTTAGTAAGAATGGATTGCTGCTATAGAGAGAAACTTTCTTCATTAATATTTTCTTTACACCATTCAACAATATATAACTAAAAAGCAGGTTATTTACCAGCTTTCAAAATACTGAGTACCTAGCCTTGCTGACCTCATTCTTATACACGAACACACACATTTGATGTGTTTCAATCTATTGCAGTTCTTACTCTCATTGATGCTCCATTGGTCATATTTGACAAGGGGAAGCCTCTTTGAGTAGACTTGTCTTTTTCAAATTATCCCAATTGTTTTGGTTTAGTTCCTTATTCTCCAGTATTAAAAGATATCCAAGCTCATTTGGTCTATTTCCAGCCCAAAACTTGAAGTCAGCCATTTATCAAAGAATACCTCACTCTTTTGAGGGGAAAATGGTATTTAGAAATCATACCTAAGGATTAGGTGTGTTCTTTGCTACTACTCTGAATAAAACTGAGAAATACATATTATTTAAAAGAAATATTTCTTGAGCTTACTAACTCAGCTTTGATATTCCTAACTCAGCTTTATGTTTATAGCATTTTAATACATTTGTTTGATTTTAGAGATGTACCCGTAATTCTTACCCTGAAAGTTTTGGTTCCAAAGGCATTACTTAATCAAATGTTTATCCTACAACAGCCCATATTACAAATAATAATAAAAACATTGATTTGATGTATTTGTTTTCTCTTTCCACCTGAATAACACCCTGAATGTCATAGAATGCTTAGAATACATAATTATTTTTCCACATATCTCTCTACACATTGATACTTTCTTTGTGGCTATCTAGTGCCTTAAGTGATTTCTGGGATTAATCTGATATTTTTCCATTTTGAGAGTTGTTGCTTCTACCAGCATACTTGTAGGATTTTTATTTATCTTGGCAATACAATAACTATACCTAAATACAACTAGAGATTTGCTTATTCATTAGTATTTATTTCATGGTACATGATAAGCACTTGGGCATAAAGTTTTAGTTGGTTGTTTTTTCATTTTTCAAAAAATATTTTATGATATGTTCAAATATTTTTTGTTTCTTATTTTTATTTTACTCCTCTTCAGTAATATGTATTATGCTTGGAATTTCACTATTTATTCAGCATGTCTATTATATTCTCTCTACTTACTTTTATCATTGTCTTAATTTAATTTTGATTATCCTCAGTCCTATTCTGTGTATCTGAGTATTTTAAGCAGTATGTTTTTTTGTAACAATATTTTCTGTTTTATAATAGCTTTTATTATTTCCTCTCATTATTTTCTTTGCTTTACCATTTTGACACTCATTTTCTTTTTTATTTTCAACTCATTTTTATATTATAATGTCAGAAATTTTAATTTGGTCCATGATTGCTTTCATTTCTTTATTGAGAAAAATTTATATAGATTTTACTTTTCTTTCTTGAATAATTCTCTTATCTCAAAGAATTATTATTTTTACATAACTTAAACCTTTTTGGTCCCTTTTTAATTTTACAAAACATGTCTGCACAAATTCTATGTTGGAAATTCTCTGTTTGTTACTCATTTTTGGATGGGCTGAGTTCCACCAGGGATTATATTCAAAAAAGAGCCTGGGAGAGGAGTGGAGGATGGCAGAACTGACACTGTCAGTAACTGTATTTCACTATATTTTCTTTTAAAATCTTCTACCAGAATATGAATAATCATCACTCCAGAGGCACAGTGCCTGTCACTCCCCATCCAACACAAGCAAAAAACATGATTGTAACCTTCAGAGTAAGTAGAGACATTGACAAGATACAGTACACCTGCAGTCCCTACAGTTCATAGTAAAACCCTTTTAGCTCAGAGATCTATTTTGGTGGGTTTAAAAATCTCCACTAAAAGACATTTGAGTAGCTGTTCCCCTTAATGTTCTTTTATTGAGCTACCTTTAGAGTATTTTGTTAGCTTATTTACTTACTTGTTTGTGCCTTTCAGGATTTAGAGGTGAATCCAAATAAGAAAGGTAACAAGCCCATGCTGTCAACCCTTCGGGATTCCACCATATGTTTGGAATTTACTTCCATGAAGACACTGTTTCTTGATTAAAATGGAATGCTTTTGATGGGACTCTTTGGGATCATCCACATATTTCTAAAGAAAGTACTGCTTTCCTCACTATATAAACAGATCAGTGTTTCACCCTATGAAATGATACTTTTGTTGTCAAATAAGTTTAAATTTTACTTATTCTCTAGTTTGCTTGTAGATGGAGGACATTGTAAATCCATTTTTCTATTGTGTGTAAAGCCATGTAAACTAATATCAGAAATGGTATTTTTTCCAATACTTTTGTCTTATCTTATTTTCTTTCCCAGACTGAAGAGATCAAGTCTTTCTGGAACCTCAACTGCCTCCCAAGGATGCTCCCTTCCCAGTCCTATGTCAACATCTCCTTCTTCCAGCCACCTGCTTTCCTGATGATTGGCATCCCAGGGCTGGAGGCCCTCCACGCCTGGATCTCCATCCCCTTCTCCTCCATGTACACTGTGGCCCTAACTGGCAACTGCCTGATCCTCTTGGCTGTGAGGAGGACTCCCAGCCTGCACCAGCCCATGTACTACTTCCTGTCCATGCTGGCCCTCACAGACGTGGGCCTCACCTTGTCCACACTGCCCACCACGCTGGCCGTGCTCTGGTTCGACCGTCGGCTCATCGGCTTCAATGCCTGCCTGGTGCAGATGTTCTTCCTCCACTCCTTCTCTGTGGTGGAGTCCTCGGTGCTCCTGGCCATGTCATTTGACCGCTTTGTGGCCATCTCCAACCCCCTGCGCTATGCAGCTGTCCTCACAAACAATGTCATCATCAAAATTGGGGTGGCCATTGTGGCTCGAGCTACTGTCTCCCTCTTCCCAGTGCCCTTCTTACTGAAGCGGCTGAACTTCTGCCCTGGCAAGATCCTCTTGTCCCACTCATTCTGTTTCCATGCAGATGTCATGAAATGTGCCTGCACTGACATTACTGTCAACATTGTCTATGGGCTGTATGTGGTCCTATCTACAGTGGGTGTAGACTCCCTGCTAATTGTCCTCTCCTATACCCTTATTCTTCACACTGTGATGGGTCTGGCTTCTCCCAGGGAACGTGTCCGGGCCCTCAACACTTGTGTTTCTCATATCTTAGCTGTTCTGATTTTCTACATCCCAGTCATAGGTGTGTCCATCATCCACCGTTTTGCGAGGCAACTGCCCCACGCTATACATGCTCTTGTTGCCTATGTGTACCTGGTGGTGCCCCCTGTGCTCAACCCCATCATCTACAGTGTCAAATCCAAGCCCATCAGGGAGGCCATGCTCAGAGTGCTGAGGGGGAAAGGCCAAGGCTGACAAAAACCAAGAAAACAACCACAGAATCTCAGGGAAACATGACCAAACTGTCACATGTCACATGTCTTTACTCAGATCCCTGAAACAGACACATTATCAAGAGTATGATAAGCGTATGGATACTCTCGGACTGGTGAGTGAAGAACATCTTAATTCTTTTCTTCACTTGTTAACAAGCTTTGTTACTCAATATTTACTTGTGCAAATATCTGTGCTCATCACTAGAGATATTAAATTGAATCATATAAATCATATATGGTTTCTTCCCTCCTGCACAACAGAAGCTTCTAAGTACACAACTATGATAAAGTGTAACCTTATTGCTATAGGAACCCAGATGAGGTTTTACTACTTGTCAAGAGGAAAGAAGACAGAAGGCAGGTAAGAAGGAGGCTGGAAAGTGAAAGGAGGTTTGTCAGGAAGAAAAGTCAGAAAGAGGACATACCTAATAAAAGGAAAAACATAAGAAACAAAAGCACTGAGGTGTGGAATGGCTTGGTGTGCATGGGAGAAAGGTGAGCAGTGAGACGAACTTGGCATAATTGATGTGTGTGCTAGAGAGAGGAGGACAGGATATGAGCTAGAAATGATGGGCAGTGGTGAGATTTCCTGAGGCCTTGCAGACCCGATTGAAACGTGTCGACTTCATGCTTTGTTTACACATCAACCATGGAAAAGCTGCTCTATTGGTAAAAGGCTGCACAGGCTTAACTGTGAAGTATAGACTGGGAAGATGAAAGAGGAAAAAAGAATGCAAGGTAAGCATCTAAGATGTGGTTATAACCGTCTAGGAAAGAGACAGGGGAGACTAAAATTAAATCAATAATAGAAAGAGGTAGATGTATTTTTGTTTTAACTTATGTCTATACTTTTCATTGTCATCTGAAAATGCCTAGAAGCAATGACACCAATAGCAGTGAGCAAAACTAGCACCCAGCTATTGGTTCCTAATTATCTTTATCCACTACAAATAATAACCTGGGATCCTTGCAGCAGTGGCTAATTCCATGGAGGAAACAGAAAACCTAAGCTGCAATAGCTTGTGCCCAAAGCATTAAAGAACACAAAGACAACAGGGTCAGGTAAAAAAAAAAAAAAAAAAACACAGATACTCATTTAAAGAGGCTATCAGTGGCCAAAGTGACCATTAGAACATTATAAAGAATTTTGACAGCATTTGATTATAACACATTGAAGCTTTAGGGAAAGACTAAATACACAGTGATAGACAAAATAAAGAGGGAGAAAAGAAAAAAGAAAACTTTTTTTGTAGAAGAATGTCATTTAACAAATGCAAAAGTATTGACTGATTTTGAAAATACCTTTTGCAGTTTTTAATGCTATTTAAAGCTAATCAACAAATGCTTAAAGGATGTCGGGAAATGGAATAGTCACACCATCTCCAAGTATTGTTGCACAGCTAACTAACTCCACAGAAAAGGGTGACTGCCTTAGCAATAAAGAGATTGGCAATTACTACATCAAGCAAGTAATCAAATTTAGCCTAACCAATAATGGGATAATCTGACCTTATGTACATTCTGATATGAACAATAAGGACACAAAATCGCATATATAAAGGGCCTACCAAAAGTGTTCAACCTGAATGAAACTATGAGTAAATAATCAGAAAAATCTCAAATATGGGAAGCATACCCAGACACAAACACATCTGGAATCCTTAAAAATAAAATGCAGTGTGCTACAAAAACTACATCAAGGGAATTAACCTAAATTAAAGAAGTTTAAAGGGATGTAACCAATACTAGCATTAACTAGTCATTTTTAGGACAGTTGTAAAATTTGAATATGTATTGTATATTGATGATGTTAGTAGGTTAGTATAATTTGCTAAGGTTTGAAAATGGTTTGTGGTTATGTAGAAGAATCTATTTTTAGGAGGTACATGCTTAATATTTATTGAGAAGGGTTGCAATGTCAACGGTTTACTTTCAAATAACTCCACAGAAAAAGTGTGTGTGGGGAGAGAGAAGCTGTAGGAGAGAAATAAAGAGATCCTCATGCCCAGATTTCTAGATTTCAAGAAAGACAGGACAGTCTCTCAGATAATTACTGTATGCTGGGAGAAGTCCTAAGATTGAGCCTGGGTAAACTGATCCATTGGTGTTAAGAATGCAGAATTCAAACGCAGAGGAAGAAAAATAATTCTATTTCTTTACTAGAATGTGATATCCATTAAGATTTTCATTGAAACTTTGCTCAAATCTCACCCAAGTCAGGGGTTTCAGCAAGGATCCCTGAGCATCCTGTGCTTCCTCCAGTTTCACTAAACACACTGTATTGTAATTATAAGTAATTGTATATGAGAGGATAAAATCTTGAGGTAGGGATGGTGGACTATGTTTTAATTATCTCTCTGACCTCAATGCTTAACTTGGGTCTGGCACATAAAACCTTACAAGTCAATAAATAATGTTTTAGTAAATGAATGAATGAATGAATGAATGAAGACAGTGGAAGAATATAGCATGGGACCTGTGGGTATGGTCAGATGTGAAGATCTCCGAGCATAGTCTAGCATTATTTCCCCAGTTTACCTCCAAATGTAGGCAACAGAGGGATGAACCACATAGCACAGCCCTGGGGAGTGGGTCTCCAACCTTTTATTTTACTGCTATAGGACTCCCCTACTACATACTCCATTTAACTTCAAGACTTTTGTTCTTTGAGGAGGAGATAAAATGTTCAGTCCACAACGTCCTGGTCCTCGATCTTCTCTCTTCTGCTCCCTTTGCAGGTTGTATAACTTCACCTCTCTCAGAGTACTTACCACTTGCTATTGAAATCATCCCTTGCACCCATCTGTTCTAGTACCTGGAAGGCAGCACTGAAACCCGGTTCATATCAAATGCCTTCATTAACCAGAAAAAGAGTTGGCCCACAAGTGGCTTCAAGAGCATTACTTGAATTAACTACTTATGAATCGTACTTCCTGATTAAATACTCTGAAATGTATTCCTTCATTAATTCAACAACTAGTTACTAAGTTCACACCACATTCCAAGCAATGGAAGCTGCAGATACAACTCTTCACTGCTATGGAGATCATGTGCATCCCATGCTCCAAAAGGGCACCTCCCTTGCTTAACACAGCCTTCCTCTGCATTTCCTCTACTGTCTGAGACTAAAGTATTAGAGACTCTAGACTTGACTTACACATCACTCTCTTTGGTCTCGTCTCCTTAACTCAGTGTCCCTGGGATGGGGACACCTTCATTTCAAAGTCATCCTAAAAGGACCACTCGGGCAGACACTTTCTTCACTGCCAGAAAATTGGGGAGTGGGTGAGTTGAACCAAGACTTGGAGGCCAATGTTTGGAAACATAAATGTCCTCTCAAGATGCTTCTTCTCTTCAAGACCCTGATATCAATTCTTTTGGATATATATCCGGATGTGGGGTTGCTGGATGATATGGTAGTTCTATTTTTAATTTTTTTGAAGAACTCCATACTGTTTTAAATAGTAGCTGCACTAGTTTGTTATCACCAAGAGCATAGGAGGGTTCCAATTTCTCCATGTCCTTATGAATACTTTCTATCTTCTGGGTATTTTTTGTTTGTTTGGTTGGTTGGTTTGGGATGATAGCTGTCCTAATAGTTCTGAGGGAGGTAATAGCTCATTGTGGTTTTGATATGCTTTTTCTATAATTAGTGATATCAAGCATATTTTCATTATACCTGTGGACATTTGTATATTCTCTTTGGAGAAATGTCTAATCAGCTCCTTAACCCATTTTTTAATCAGGGCATTTGTTTTATCCTATCATGTTGTGGGAGTTCCTTATATATTTTCATATTAATACCTTATTAATATGTGGTTTGCAAATATTTCCCCCCATTCCATAGTTTGCCTTTTCAGTCAGTTGTTTGCTTTGTTGTGCATTAATTTTAGTTTGATGTAGCTTCACATGCCCAGTTGGCTTTTGTTGCTGAGATTTTGTTGTCATAACCAATAAACCATTGCCAACTCCAAAGTTATGATGATTTTCCCCTATGTTTTCTTCTAGGATTCTTATAGTTCCAAGTCTTACCTTTAAATCTTTATTCTGTTTTTTTTGGTTGATTTTTTTTTCACTTTTTTATTGAAGTATAGTTGATTTACAATATTATAGTGGTTTCAAACACAGTAATTTAACAGTTATACACATTATGAAATCCTCACTCAACTAGTGCAGTTACTATCTGCCAACACAGAAAGATGTTACAGAACCACTGACTATATTCTTCACACTACACTTTCATCCCTGTGACCAAGTTACTTTATGATTGAGATTTTTGTGCCTCTTTATCTTTTTCATCCACTCCAACCCTCCCCCATGGTCTTCTCAGTATATATGAATCTACTGCTGTTTTGTTCATTTTATTTTGTTTTGTTTTGTTTTTAGATTCCACTTCTGGGCCTTTTGGCTAAGATCGAGCATAGTCAACTTTTCTATATGGTGTGAGATAAGGGTCCAACTTCGTTCATTTGCATGGGGATACCTAGTTTTCCCAACACCATTTGTTAAACAGATTGTCCTTTCCCCATTGCATATTCTTGGAACCCTTGTCAAAAATTAGTTGAGTCTATATTTGAGTTTATTCCTGGGCTATTTTATTTGTCAATTTTTATGCCACCATCACACTGTTTTAAATTGCTATAAATTTGTAATATATTTTGAAATCGGTAAGTCTCATACCTCAAGCTTTGCTTTTTTGTTCTTCTATCTCAAGATTTCACTGACTATTTAAGTCTCTTGTGGTTCCTTATGAATTTGAGGATTTTTTTATCCTGCTTCTCTTAATAATGTGATTGAGATTTTCAAAGAAATTGTGATGCTGGGGTTCTTGTTCACGAAGCCGAAGAATGAGCTTCACAAACACTCAAGGTAGGAGAGCAAGGTACACGCTTTTATTTAGAGATAAAGTGAGAGGACAGAGCTCCTGGCTCAAGCCAGGAGGGGACAAGAGTCCATCGTTGGCTCATTGTCTATGGGTTTTATGCGCAGTTGAGGATTTTCAGGAATGCGGGTAAAGGGTTAGGGGTGCAGACTTGTTGAGTGGTCTCAGAATGCTCATTCTTGATGAGTAACAGCAGATTTTCAGCTCTGATTCTTTCTCAAGATAGCAGTTTCTCTCTGGGAGCATGTCAGTTAAAACTGCCTACCCTGCCCCCAAGGTGGGCTGGGTTGTTGCCTATTTGCTGAAGTAA